TTTATAGGCCATAGTAGCAAAATAATTTTCAATATTGTTGAAACCTTATCCAATTCTATCATTTTAGAACTTTTGTGATGAAAAAGATATAATCAATTTGTGCATTGGAGGTTTTACAAGGTTGAATTTTTTATAGAATCCCTTTAAGTAAAACCTATCAAGAACTCATCAATAATAAAGTCTTTATTTCTTAAATTAAAGGCTTTTATGAAGATGGCTAAAAAAGAAATGCCATCTGTATTTTATGCAACTTTAGCTTATAAAGAAGAAAACTTGCTAATAGCTATTTCATAGTAATCTAAGAAATTTCAAAATATCTTTGAAAAAAATATTAATGTATTTCCACAACATTGACTATATGATTGTGTTATTGATCTTCAAGCAAGGGCTCAACTACCGTTTGATTCAATCTATAATCTATTATAGAACAATTTTTTGGCATTAAAGGATTACATCAATGAAAATCTTGCAAAAAAGTTTATTTGGTATTCCAAATCTCCAATAGTTGTACCAATATCTTTTGTGAAGAAAAAATATAGATCTTTACAAATGTATGTTGATTATTATGGTTTCAACAATATAAAAATGAAGAATTATTATTCATTATTGTTGATATCAAGGCTATTGAAGCAACTTAGTCAAGCCAAAATCTATACCAAAATAGATTTCTATGGAGTATACAATTTAATGTAGATTAAAAAAAATATAATGAATGAAAGATAGTATTTCAGCTAAGATATAGATATTTTGAATATAATGTCATGCCTTTAGGATTAAAATATGCTCTAACTATATTCTAGCATTTGATAAATGATTTTTTTAAAGAATTCTTGAATAAGTTTGATATCTATTATCTTGATAATAACTTAATCTACGGTAAGACTTTTGAAGAACATAAAAAATATGTAAGATTAGTCTTGCAAAAATTACAAGATGTAGGATTATGTACCAAATTAAAAAAATGTGTATTGCATCAATTAAAATTAGAATTTCTTAGATATATTATATTCAATAAAGGCTTATTGATAGATCCAAAGAAAGTTCAAGTTGTAATAGAGTGGACAACTCGAAAGACAATATGAGATATACAATGTTTCTTTGAATTTGCTAATTTCTATTAGATATTCATCAAGAATTACTCCCAAGTTGCTACTGCTCTTACTTGATTGTCATCCAAAGATAAATTGGAATAAGGGCCTCAAGCACAAAAGGCTTTATAAGATTTAAAGTTAGATTTTATTACTTCTCTAATCTTAATGCAACTAGATTTCACAAAGGCCTTCTATTTAGAGAGTAATGCTTTGAACTTTGTATTAGGAGTTGTATTATTACATATAAAAAATAATAGAAAGCTTCACCTAGTTGCATTTTATTCTAAAATTTTTTCAGCTATAAAGATCAATTATGAGATTTATGATTAAGAGCTTTTTAGAATTGTAGACTCTTTTCAAAAATGGTGGAACTTATTAGAAGGCACTGTATATCCTATGATTGTATATAGATCACAAAAATTTAGAATATTTCATATTAATTGAGATTTTGCATCACCACTAAGCTTATTAGAATATGTTATTATTTCATTTTGATTTTGTGATTATATATTGACCAAAAAAATAGCAAGGACTATTAAATGTTTTATCAAAAAAATCATATCTTACTTTAAAGGATAGAGAAGTAATATTTGATGAGCAATATATCATTCTTTTGAAGCTAAAGTAATTTTTTCTTTGTACTATTTCTATGATTATACCTATTAATTCAAGTTTTTTTAAACAAATGTATGCAATGTGAACTAAGAACTCACATATTATCAAGTAGTATCTTGACAATCATAAGTTTAGGTTTGTCAAAGATCTTTTGTATTTTAAAGATTGTTTATATATTCTAAAAGGACCAATACGATGTCGTATTTTTCAATCTCATCATGATTTTCTAATTGCAAGACATTTTGGATTTAACAAAATATTAGAGCTTATCTCTTAAGAATTCTGGTGGCTTCAAATGTTGAAGATTGTAAAAGGACTTTGTCTTCTTGTGTGACATCTATTTAAGATCCAAGAATTTTTGACATTATTCTTATGGACTTCTACAGCCATTACCAATTTTGAAGCAATCACGGTCTTTAATATTAATATAGTTTATCATTAATTTATTTCTGTTAGCTATATTTGATGATATCTACATTATTATAGATCGACTTGAAAAAATGGCATATTTAGTCCCATGCAAAAAACCAAGTTTTATAGAAGAAATGACAAGGTTCTTCTTTGATAATATATATCAATATCATAGCCTATCTAATAACATCATTTTTGATTGAAGACCTTAATTTATATCAAAGTTTTGAAAATATTTTTTTGAGATATTAAAGATTGATATTAATTTTTTTTTTTTTGCCTTTCACCTTCAAATCAATGGTCAAATAAAACAAGTCAATGAAGTTTTAAAGCAATATTTGTAATATATTATCAACTATCAACAAGATGATTGGACCTTATATTTATCTTTAATAGAGTTTTTTTATAATAATATTCTTCATGCTTTAACTAAGAAAATACTATTTTATGCCAATTATAGCTACCATCCAAAGCTTGATTTTTTAGGTACATTAAAGGATGAAAATCCAACAGTTGAAGATCTTGTAAAATAATTGTCACAACTCCAGACAACTTTGAAGCTCCATTTACAAGCAATTGAAGCTTCTTACAAAGCATCTTTAAACAAATTTAAAAAGAAATCTTAAACTTTTTAAGATGGAAATAAAATATGGCTTTTTTGACAAAATATCAAGACCAATTGGCCTTACAATAAGTTGGACTATTGAAGGCTTCGGCCATTTTGTATTCAAAAGCAAATCAATCTAATGGCTTATCAATTGAAACTACTTACATCTATGAAGGTACATCCAATCTTTCATATTTCTCTTAGAGACTTATTTAGAATCAACTATTCCAAGAATAATACAACCATCACTACCTTATATTGAAATAGATAATCATGTGAAATATGAGGTGGAAAAGATCATTGATTTTTGGTGAAGAAGAAAAAAGTTTGAATATTTTATTTATTAGTGCAGCTACAATATCAATGAGCATATATAGAAACCAGCAAAAAAACCTAATTAATATGCTGCAAAAGGTATACGAGTTTCGTTGACACTATTTTCTGAAATCTAAACCTATTTTAGAATGATTTTTCTATAAAGCTATTGTTAGGATGTTATATATAACAAAAAAATAAATATTACTCACAATTTTTTTAGAATTTAGTATATTTTATTTATGATCCAATATGCCAAGTTGGAAAATTTTAAAATCATGAATTTCAAAGTAGAGATAGAATTAGAGCTTTTCTTATCACTGCTACCAGATCAACCACTCTAGCTCTTGTAACCTTTGGAAGATCATCTTCAAGATGAAGTTAGATCTTCTTGAGGGAAAAAATGCCTATGGTACAATTAATTCAAATAAGAAAATCTTAAAGATGATGCTCGAGCTTTGGTTGTTCTATTACAAATATAGAACCAATATCCATCATGGAACTTGGAGTTAAAAATGGAGGTGAAGTTACAAACATCTAACAAGAAGACTTTTGAAATATTCAAAAAATATTCTATTAGGTTCTAAAAGATTTTAAAATATTCTTAAAATATTTAAAAAAAATATTTTTGAAGGTTTTGGAAGATTCTAGAAAGTTCTAGGATGATTAATGAAGTTGTCTAAGAAGCTTCTTAGGGTTGCTTCATCTTCAAGCAACATGAGAACTTCTTGATAAGCTTTCTAATATCTAATATTATTAAGGTTAACAATGAGGGGATTCTTAGTCTCAATATCACATCTTTTAAAGCTTTAGCTTACTTTTCTTGGTATTCATCTTATATTCATCTGATTTAATTAAGTTCTTGTTAGTTTTTTTGTTGAAACTCTTTTGTTCAATTTCTTGTTTGATCTCTTGTTTGATCTCTTGTATAATATATCCATGACAAATATAAAAGTAAAGGCGTATAGAATAGATAATTTAAATACAAAATTTAAGTAAGGAATGATTGTCAAAAAGAATTTAGTACATTTAAATATCAAAGAACTTATACATTATCATAAATATAGAAAAAATGATTTTTTTTATAGTAGTGGACATGATGAAAGAAGACCTTGTATTAAAAAAGATGTGGACAAATTAAAAATTGGTTTAAAAAAAATACATAAATGTTGATAGTACTTAAAATTAGAAAAGTGAAAAAAAGATAAAAATTAAAAAATAAAATATATTACCAAATTATTTATATGCTTTGATGAAAAATAATCAATATTAGAAAAATATAAAAAATTAAAAGTTGGAATAGAATTTAGGCTTTTAGATTCAAAACTTGTATTAAATAAATATATAAATAAAGATATGCATATAAAAATATATATATATATATATATATATATATATAAATAAATAGAAATTTTAAAATTATATATATTAAAAATTTTAAAAATGAATAAAAATTGAAGAATTTGATTTGTCAAACAATAAAAATAAAAGAAATTAAATTTAAATTTATTTAATTTTTTTAGAAATACTAAATATGTAAATTAATTAAAACTAGAATAAAATCACTTTGACTCAAAAATAAAACTAAAAATAATTAAATATACAAACACAATTTATAGTACATTTAAATCCAATTCCTTTGATATTAATCACAAATATCTTGTATCATAGATTTTATTCTAAAAGAACTACCATTTCAACCACAAAAAAATAAAAAAATAAAAAAAATCTGGCATCACATACCAAGAACACATCGTGGAATAAATTCCAATAAATTCATCAACCAATGTGAATTATCCGTAGAAGTAAAGGAATAAGCCAGACGTATAAATATAAATAAATGGATGAGAACTGAGAAACGTTCATCGAGAAGGACGGATGAGAGGGGGGGGTGGGCACAGAATGACGGGCAGTAGCAGCACTGGAGAGTGGGTTGTATATGAATGGGAGAGCGGGGAGGTCTAGGGTTTACGACCCTTCATTTTTGCAGTACCAGCAGCAGCGCTCTGGTCCTCCTCTCCGCTCCTCCGCTCCCCTCCCCTTCCCTTCCCCGCTGGTCATCGGCGCTTGCGATCCACGCCCCGACCGCGCTCCGACTACGCTCTACCTTCTTTCGCCTCTCTTTTCCGCTTCTTTTGACTTCTTTCGCCCTCGCTCTCGTGGCGTGTTGCGTCAGCTCTGTGATTTGGAGGTGAGTGAGGTTTTAGCTAGCGGCGGGGTGCTGTTTTTCTGCGGCTCTGTGTGTCAAGGGACTGATTCTGGAATGGTGTGTGCTGTGAGTTGTTGGCTAGGATATTGCAGACCTTGTGCTGGAGTTGGCGACCTCGCAGTTTTCTGTCTGTGATGTTGTTGTTTTTGTTTTTGTTGTCGTCGTCGTCGTCGTCTTGTCCTTGTAGAAATCTACTTACCATTCTCTTTTTTTTCTTTTTTCTTTATTTGGAAGTATTAAGAACCAATGGCTTACTTACCTCTCATTTTTGCGGTTCAAAATTTAGACATCGGTTGGTGTGGGAGTTGAGAGGTGAGACATGGGTCGTATGACAGGGATAGACAGGTTTTAGTTTGTTTTCTTGGTGAGTTGTGGAGTGTTTGTCTTTGTGTGGGTTGATGTAGAATTTTCGAGGTGGAGTTAGGTTTGTTGACAGGGAGATGTGGAGGAAGCATGAAGAGGCTGGTTTACACGGGTTTATACTAGTAGAGCGGGGTCTATTATGTTGTTTGGGAAGAGTTAACATGTTCATGGCCGATTTTTTTCTTTGAAAGACTTGCAAAGAATTTTTAAAATTTTTTCTTCAGAGAAATAAAATGTGTAGGGTTTCAATGAATATAACAGTAGTTGGAGTGATTAGGTCATTGTTACATACATGATGGTATTATGAGCAAGACGAGAATATTTTGTCTCTCTGCGTCATACGTCATGGGTCCTCGAAATGAGGAGGTGCATTCTTGAGGGGGTCGTGGTCGTTGTTTGTCCCGAAGGGAGAACGGATTGTTCGTGGTTTTGCTTGGTTGATATTTTAGGGTTTGTAGCTGGCTTGGGAGCGCTTTGATCAGTATGCCAAGCTTTTCTATGTTCATTCTTCTTACCATTTTTTTTCTTTCAGTTGTACAGAATCTCAGCCTCCTCGTTTCCCTGTGATATTTTCAGGTCTCAATGTCTCAGTTACGGCTGAGAAGTAGCGACCAGCAAGTGGTCCAATAGGTCCTAAAACTATTTTGCAATCGTGTTGAGACTATGAACAGGCCACCGCATTTTTTTCGCCTGGACCTGGTGATTGTGCTGTCCTGTTGCGGCTTGAGCGATATCTCGCATACAGAAATTTTAGTCCTCTGAAGAAAATACTAGCCGCGTAAATCAGGACGTGTATAACTATACACTGCGCCATGGCGAGTTCTCTGTCAGACATGTCTACTCAGTCAGGACTAGCAGGTGGGACATCTGGTGTGAATGGAAGGCTCGAGGAACCTGATCACTCAAGTGCCTATTGGTATTTTAGTCGGGAAGAGATTGAGAAACATTCGCCTTCCAGATTGGATGGAATTGACATCAAGAAGGAGACATACTTCCGGAAGTCCTACTGTACGTTTTTGCAAGATCTTGGCATGCGGTTGAAAGTGTAAGAACTCGAATCTGGTGTTGGTTTATTGGAATAGCGTATATATCTGTGTTCATTTTTTTTTCCTCATGTCCACTTACGTTTCAATATCTCTTTAATCGAAAATACCAAGTCGCTACCTATTGCGGACACTTCTCTGCACAATCTCTAATGTTTGTATTCGTTTGAAAATCCATTTTTAGTTTCTTGTTTTCTTTCTTATGAAGAGGTCTCCTCATTCAACCCCTGTTTAAACCGTATCTTGGTTAGTGGAAACTCATGCATTTCCTACTCAGATAGTTGCTGAAGTATCATTAAACACGAATTTAGCAAACCTGACCTAGACCATTGGATTTCGCAGGCCTCAGGTTACTATTGCAACAGCCATTGTGTTCTGCCATCGGTTTTTCCATCGACAATCGCACAAGAGGAACGACAGATACGTGAGTGTCTCCTGTCCCTAACCTGGATTCATCTTTAGGTACTGGGTATGGTGTTCCTCGACAATTTCCATAGTTTTGAGAACTTCTGAACGGCCTATGCTGTAACCTTTATCTACACTTATAATCATGTGTTTGCGATGGCAGATGATAGCCACCGTGTGCATGTTTTTGGCTGGGAAAGTGGAAGAGACACCCCGTCCTCTTCGAGAAGTTATCGTGTTCTCTTATCACATTCGGTTCAAGAAAGATCCATTAGCTAAGGAGCGAATCAAACAGAAGGTATTTATTGCATTAGTCAGTTATTTATTTGTAGATGTTTTCTCGGTTGAGGACTGGAGAGTTACTTGGGTGGATATTCTCTTCTGAATCTTTCGAATTAAAGCTCACATGGATCTGCATTCGAAACTATGGACTTAGTGAGTTATATTCTTCTTTGCACTTGTTTATGTAAAGTATTCTTCATGTCTGTCAGGAAGTTATTGAAGAACAGAAAGAGTTGGTTTTGGCTGGGGAGCGGTTGGTCCTGACCACTTTGGGCTTTGATTTGAACATTCATCACCCATACAAACCCTTGGTGGCAGCTATCAAGAGATTCAAAGTGGCTCAGAACACTCTTGCGCAGGTTGCATGGAATTTTGTGAATGACGGGTAAGTGGAAGCACAAGCTCTATTTGCCTTCTAGCTGCCCTAGGTACAATAAATGGAAGTGTTATTTCCAGCACAGTTAGATTCGATAGAAGCAAACATTGTATGCTGGAAGTATACACAAAATTTGGCCTTTGAATTCTTATTTGTGCTTTGTCACCTGATCATGTAATAATACCCGGCTGTCAGCACTTTACGTTAAGGCTGAAGGGCCAAGATGCCACTTTTAGAGATCAGCAGATTAATGTTCTTTGTGCTGAAAACTGTGACCACTGTAGTCGGAAAGGCTAATGTAAGGGTGATTATTGTCCAGACTTCGCACGTCACTTTGCCTGCAATTTAAGCCTCACCACATCGCTGCGGGAGCTATCTTCCTCGCTGCTAAGTTTCTCAAAGTGAATCTGCCGAAGGAGGGTGATAAAGTGTGGTGGCAGGAGTTCGAAGTTACCCCAAGACAATTAGAAGGTTAGCCTTCCTTTTCCTTTCATTCAGCCAAACTCTGTATAATACCAAGTGCTTCTTTGTCGTAGTGTTCTTGAACTTGTGATATTCCTTGCGTCTTCCCATACTTACTCGCATGTAAGCTGAAAGGATGTCCTCGCTCCAGTTTACTCAGTTTCTGGTCAGCCTTCTTATGTTCGATTTAGAGTAGGTTTTTCTTGTTTTAACCGATGTTTTCCAAGTAGGATACTTGACTCTTATTGCGTTGATATTTAGATCGGGCACAGATCTCATAAGTGTCAGTTTTTGGTTTTCAGAAGTTAGCAATCAGATGTTGGAACTTTACGAGCAGAATAGAAATAACGGCGCAACAGGCTCACTGGCTAACGACCCAAGCCCCAGTGAAATGAACCGGGGCCATGCTCCAGCAAGTTCATTCCAAGCACCTTCTGCAAATGGAAATCACCAACAGCAAAGCACTTCAGGAAAACCTCAAGCAGTGGAATCGAATGCAGATGAAGCCTCTAGCCACCAGGTTGAAGACAAGGCAGGCGATACTTTGCGGTCGTTGTCACCTCGTGAGCGTACCTCGGATGCTAGACGGAAGGGTGGTCCTGAGCCACCTGAAGGACAAATCCTGAACAGGGTGATTAAGCAGGAGATAACTGTGAAAACTAAAGTGGTTAGAGCAAATGTGGAAAAAAATGAGCTGCATATCGAGAGTAGAGATTTCAATTCTATTGCTACTCAAGTCGATAAGAAAGATGGAGAATCTGTCGCATGAGAGTGGCAAAGAATGTGGATTGGTTGAGACGGAAAAAAGAAAAAAAAGAAAAAAAAGGAAAAACAGAAAAAAGACTCAAGAAGAGAGCAGTCATCTTCGTTTAATCTGATGCTGTGATAGTGAATCAAGAGCTTCAGAAATAAGAGTTTCGGTAGTACAGAATAATATGAGGATTGGTGAGCTTGAATATGGTCGACTAAGACGAGCCGAAGGCACCTTTGCATCTGGGAACATAAATTATGCCACTTAATCAGAGATGGAGGGTGCAGGTGCGCCACGTAATCAAAAGTTAGAAAGGATCTTGGGTGTCGTTTAACTTTGTGAACGAAGCTGTACACTTTGCTAGCTTATGGAAGTATAGGTGCGCTGATTGTTTCTAATAATCGGGGGTAAAAATGATGGCGGTGATGTCGACACTGTCGAACTCTTCACCGTGTGATCGAGTTGGAAAATTTAATAGCGGAGGTGGTTTTGTTTCTTTAATTTCAAAGAACACTTTTAAGGAGAAATAATCGTACCAGCGTTTAAGGCAACAGGTATGTTTCATTCGTCTAGATTCTTTAGATATTGTTTTATTTTTTCTGTGTCGTTACTTCTGGCACTATATCTTGCTAAGAACTGTCATGATTTGTGCTTAAATCATAAATTGTGAATGATGGTTTTCATGCCCATGGTTGCTATCTCCAAATCTAAGCATAGATTTTTGAATTTAGTGACGAATGTTCTGAAATACCGTAAATTGTTCCGGTCACTCATCAAGCATAGCTTTCAAGGCGTGTTTTGGATGTTGGGATTGTTCCCACTAGAAAGTACATATAACTTAGCCATATTTCGGAGTGTTCCTAAATTGTCTTGGCTTTGATGTCAACTCCACCGTTGATCGCATATGTCACTATAGTCTGTGCAAACTAGATTCTGAGATGCATGTCTGTTTTCAGGGAACTCCCTCGAGTCTAATGACCACGCTGATGTAGAATGGGACAATAGGGCCAAAGGGGACATTTTCCAGAAAGGGTGGAAGATGATGAATTGACGAGGACAGGTGGCAGCCTGAGGCCTTCATCATGATCAGCAGATAAGAAGTCTCTCCCTCATCGTAGTCGGTCTTGGGGCTCAGAGCTCTGAAGAAGCTGAAGGGCACGGGAATTAGAAAAAAGGGTACAAGGATAGGAGGCATTACCCTCACACCCGGAGCACTACAGAGATTATCATTCTTCACACTAAAAGTGCGTTTTCATTTCATTTGGCGTGATTAAATGTAGAGTCCTTGGATTTGCTGTCTTATTTTATTCAATCGTGTACTCGTTTCCCTATGACTGAACTGTGAATTTCATGATTCTATTTTTATTTGTGTGTTGTCTTCTTTTTGACAGGTATGGTCGAATGACTGGGGAGAAATTTTTACCTTAACCTTAAAAGATTTAGGCCTTAATGAGTGGGAGATGCAAGAGTACATTTTTGATAGTTTAGGGGTTTTTGTCATTGAGAGAAGAGTTCCTTTCACGAATAGAGCGTGCTATTTTCCAGTATTCATCATGCTGTGAAACCAGTGAGGAGATGTATTATAGATTTTTTACGGTTAACTAACGTGGAAATCGAGGGAGGAAACACTTTGATGTTGATATGCGGATTTGGAAGTAACAGCAGCATGCGTACTTCCGACGAGACGCGCGAGTTCTTTGTTAACATGGTAATGTTATTTTTCTCCGAACATCCGCCACTCGTTGCCTCTCATGCTTGATTCCTAACGGTTCAGTCATCAAAGACATTTTGTGTGGACTTCATGTGTACTCTAATTTCATCCCTTGTGATTTGTAATTATTATTGTCCCTTTTCGAAAGTATTTACTGTAAACTCATTTTAGATTTTAGATTGTATGTCGACTCTAATTCTCACTCGCTTTTGAGACATCTTCTATGAACAATAGTCATAATTGTCTTGCCCTGGAATTATCACTGGTAAATTGCATGCAAACCCTACACTCTAGGTTTACTTCATGACTTTTGAGACTTCTCATGTGATTTTTAGGTATGATCGTCCCGCTTTAATGACATTTCATGTGGAATCTATGGAAAGTCTTCTCGGCATTTTTGCTCACACTAGAGGATCATATCCAATCCTGAATCAGCTTAACCTTCGGTTATTTCACCTTAATAACTACCCTACATACTCAATTGATTATCATTGCTCGCACTAGCACTTTCTTCCGATGATGTCGCCGCTCTTTCACATGTCACACTCCTTGTCTGCCGCTACAATACACATTATCTCAATTACTTACACCCTCTTGCACACTTGCCATTCAAAAAACATGTACGCAGCTACACTCAATCGGAAAAATAAAATGAAGACTTTCAATTACCCTGCATTGCCAAACTTAGCTTCTCTTCCTGTGGTGTCTGCTTGCTCCATTTCAATTTGCTGTACCAACCTAATCTTCACTTAGCTCCTAACACTCAACATGAGCTCACACACATCACTGATTCTACTCCGGGGGTGACTTTTAACCCTCTTACACTATAGCTAACTTGTAGGAGTCTATGAACCACCATAGCTAAATTGTGGAATCTATGAACCACCAATTCCATGTGATTTTGTTTAGTTGACAGTTGTCGACTGTTAACACTTGAAAAAAATTCTTTCCCTGTTTGGATCTAGCTACCTTGGTGACAGCCATGAATTCCTGACTGTCACATAAGCACAATCATGAGATCTACAAGAAATTTCAAACTACTAGGTAACATGCTTCCATTGCACGGGCCTCTAAAATGAAAAAGAGGTGGCAGCCACGTTAAATCATCCCAACTCTAGACTGGGCCTGCACCCCCTCAATAGGGTACCGAGCCATTTCCAACGCAGGGTTGAGGCTGTTCTTACACAATCTAAGTGCACATGACCATAACATAACTGACAAACAATTGTTTAGCTTCATCCCGCCAGGTTCTCTGCAGTCATAGTTACTCTTCCACTTGATGGTAGCGTGACAACAGTAACGATAAGACAAAAAAGACGACCAATAAATGCAAAAACTCATTACATAAAACTTGAAAAACTACAAAAAATCCTTTCTTATTTCATCAAGCTAATGTCATCCAGTATCTGTACACAGTCTTAGGACTGTCTATTACACAAAACTAGCCTTATTCTAACCTGTATCGCTCATCTTCATTAGTAGACTGACATGTCGGATATACAAATTCTACACTTCGAGGAAGCGACAAAAATCACCTAGAGGACCTCATTAGATTACCAATTTCGAAATATATCTGCAATTTTTTGGCCAAATACACAAGTTGTGCCTCAAGTTGGGAAAATCCAAGAACCAGCAATTCTAGCTTCATGTAGTATAGGTTTGAGACTTTCATCACAAATCATAAGAGATATAAACTCTGGATTGTCTTTCCAATGGCGGGGTTCGTCGGTCTTTCCGATGGCAATGAGTCAAGCTTGTTCAGCACCACAGGTTCAATACTAGGTTACATATGATATTGAGTGGGAGAGAAGTTGAGGGGTTATTGATTCTAATCTTCCACCTCGGCTCTAATCTCCTCCGTGAGTTCTTTCTTGTAATCATCGAAACTATCAGGATACTTCCTGACTTTTCCATCCTCCACAACCCACACTTCACTATTCTCCTCTTCCGAACAAACACGAGATATCAACCGAGAATCGTGACTAACAAGAACAACACCTCCAGTGAATTCGTCCAAGGCATCGGCCAAGGCATCAATACTCTGCATGTCAAGATGATTGGTAGGCTCATCGAGCAGTAAAATGTGTGGCCGAGCCATTGAAATTGAAGTAAAAACAACCCGAGCTTTCTGTCCTCCTGAGAGCTTCACAATGGGAGTAAGATGGTTATGACTGGGTAACCCAAACTTTCCAAGTTTGGCTCTCACGGCTTCTTGTTTACTGGGACCTTCTTGGTCTGGATAGAGCCGCAAAAGGTACTGAACTGGGGTCTCGTCCATTGTCAAAGAATCTACGAAGTGCTGAGAGTATCGACCCACTCGAAGCTTCTGACTCTGTCTAGACTCCCCTTCTGTAGGTTGAAGATCTCCAGCCAAAAGGTTCAAAAGCGTCGATTTTCCAGCACCGTTCGGACCTACAATTGCCACTCGTGTACCCATGTCCACACCAACATCAATACCCTTAAGAGCGAAATCTGGGCGACCAGGGTAACCGAAGCCAACATCGATCAGTTGCAACAATGGGGGTGTCAGCTCCGTGGGTTCCGGAAAATGAAACTCGACATTGTAATCCCGCCACCTCTTTGGGGCCTCTGCAGGAGCCTCATCATCATCAGCAGCAGCTTTAGATTTACCCTTCGAATTGGCATCCTTTCCGGCATTAAATTTCGCACGTTCCTTGACCTTGTCTTGCTGTGCCTTACTTCCACTCCTCTTTGCAGCCTTCAACTGCTTTTCAAAAACCTCGTATTTCTTATTACTTTCACGACGCTTCTGCTCATACATCTCCTCAAAAGCTGCGAAATTCCCCTTATATGTAAGCAGCTTCTGGTCATGCAGATGGATAATGTCAGTTGATACTGAATTCAAGAAGTCACGATCGTGGGATACAACAATCAAGGTCTTTTTCCACCTCTCCAAGTACTGCTCGAGCCACATAACAGCTCTCAAATCTAGGTGATTGGTGGGCTCATCCAGCAACAATAGGGTAGGCTGCATGAACAGAGCCCTGGCCAACGAGATTCTCATTCGCCAACCTCCACTGAAGGACTTCGTTGCCCTACCTTGCATAGCTATGGAAAACCCTAAACCAGCCAAGATCTTTGAGGCTCTTGCCTCCGCGGCATCCGTCCCAAGTGCCTGCATTTTTTCATACAGAACAGTCAACTGTTCCCCGACATCATCAGCTTCATCATCGTCGTAGCCGTTATTGGTATCAGAGTGGCTCTGCAGCTTTGCAGCCTCTTCCCGAAGTCGTATCAGTTCCTCATCCGCAGATACCACCGATTCTAGAGCCGTTTTCTCGTCTCCAACAACCTCCTGCTCCACCAACAACACATCTATGTTCTTCGGAACGGGAATTTGTCGCCAAGCCAAAAGCTTGAGCAGAGTAGATTTTCCCGTCCCATTGGGACCAACAAGACCATACCGCCGACCGTGTACAATGGTAATCGACGTATTCTTCAGCAATTCCTTACCACGAGCAGAGACCGAGAAGTTTTCGATTTTAATATCCTTCATACTGGCCCCCGTAGTATTCTCCTCTCCTTCCAACGCAGCTGACTTGGCACCAATCGTAACAGAAAACGCATTCTTATCGCCTTTCATTGTTTCCTGTTTCGACATTTCTACAGCCGCAGCAACCATCATCTCTTTCTTCGCTTTTTTCTTCGAAGTTTTATCCGTCACCGTTAAATCCAACCCCTTCCGCTCGCCCCTCTTCAAAGCCAACGCCGCCTCCTCCTCACTATCCATCCCCTCGTCCTCCTCATCCTCAGGCGGCAGATCAATGTCACCATACGCACTTGATGCTGGAGCAGGTGCCTTCTTCGGCACCTTGGAGCTCGCAGTCGGCTTCTTCGCCGGCTTGTCCTCCTTCGCCTTGTCCAAGCTATTCAGAAATGCAGAAACCGACACACGCTCTTTCTTTACATTTCCTCCACCTCCTCCTGCCTTGGCCTTTCCACTCCCAGCCGCAGCCCCCGCATCCTCCTTCCGCACCATCCTACACAATCCCTCAAAACCCTGGTTCCCAACACACACTCTCTCCCCCCAAAAGCCCTAAAAATTTAACCTAAAACAGCACCCAACTACTGCAGTGGAACGATTGTAGAACCTCTGTAATCAAACTACGCTGGCGAACGATCCAAGATGAGAACCACGACCCTTGACACTGCCCATACCTTACACAACGTCGAAACATCTAGAACTTGAAACCCTAAAACCTAGATTTGCACAGTGCAAGGACTTGGTATGGAGAGGATGGAGACAAAAGATATGGATGGATGTGGAAAAAGAAAAAAAATGGGCCGGCCAGTTGGTTGGCTCGAACGGCTTGGAGTCCAGTTGCCTTGCCCTTCAATTCCCCTGTTTGGAGCCCACAGACATGAACACAAACAAATCAAAGAACTAGAGAATAAACACTTAAACGTATCGTAAGACAAAGAGGAAAACTAGGTATAAATATATAAATATATATACAAGTATGACATGGAGAAATGAGGTGTTTGAAAATATATCAACAAGAGCCGTAGTGTAACTGAGCATGCAGAGACGTCGTAATTCCTAACACTATCGTCAAGGCAAAACTAGATTTCCATTTGAGCGAAGGTGCGGCGAGCCCTAGACTCTATTTCTAACGTTCGGACGTCCAGGGGCGACTGCGAGGAGGGCTGCATGTATGAGCGGATGGGCGCGAGTCCAGAGCATGAGGGTTGTGGAGTCGCTCCCGCAGAATGTGTGTATACATTGGTTATGAAACCGTCGCGAAAGATCACGTAGGCGATGGATTGAGGGGAGGAAGCAATTAGAAAACGGCGTAGAATGTGCGTCATCAAACCTGGCGTGGATGCCGAGGAGGCTGTGAAAAGCTTTTGGGTCTCCATCATATTACCAGCCGTGAGCATCCATGAGCTCAAATTTTGTTTTTTGTGTTTTGTTTATTTTGCCGATTGGATTGGTCGCGAATGATCTCATTTTGAAATCGTATTTACTTGATGTTGTTGCGTCAGTTATTTTTTTAGAACTTGTTGTGAAGTTACCTCAGTGTTTATGATTTTTCGCAGCTGGGTCTTTATTTCGGATGTTGGGAAGTTGTGTTGATCTTCGTTGTATTGCACTTGGGACTCCTCCAGAGAGAGATTCATTGCAAAAAAGAAAAAAGAAAAGAAGAAGAAGAAGAAGAAGAAGAAGAAGAATTGTTTGTTTAGGGCTTTCCTAGCTGGGTTTAGTGTTCACTTTGTGAATTTGCAATGCTGGGTTTTAGATGTAAGGGTTCAGGGTTTTAGCCGCGTTTTATTTTAAAAAACTGACCCCTTTCGAAGAGCCTGTAATTTCTTCTTGTTGATTGCGAGTTTGGGTGAAGGTATTTCCAATTCCTTGAATTTGTGCGTCTAGCTTTTTAAAATCTTTGGTGTCTTATTTTGCACCTCCTCGTAGCCCTTTCCTGTTATGAGTTTGATCTGCGTTTCCTTTTCATTTGCTTATTTCTTTCTGTTCAATGATTTTTGTATTTATCTTATCATTTACTTTGATAAGCTAGGAATTGTGTGTTCTGCATTACTCTTGATTTGCAACCATGAATTTCAGAAGCACTCGCTTGTAAACCCTGAGCGCGAAGCCAGTGATTTGGCGCTGATCTGTGCTAAAGCATATTTTGGAGCTGGAAGGTGGAAGTTTTGGTAGATAGGGGAAAATCTGCAAATGCCAGAGCAGAAGTCTTTAGCTGCAGCTACGGCGTCCGAAGGCGCGAAGAGGAAGAGGGAAGATATGGCACATAGTGCGAAGGCTGGGGTTCAGAGGTACTTGATTACTGTCGAGTACATTGGCACACGCTTCCTTGGTTTTCAAAGGCAGAAGGGCAAGCGAACCGTTCAGGGTTGTCTCGAGGTACTCTCTCAGTAAATCCTCAATCAACGCAAGTTTTTGAATATTCAGCGGTCATGTACTTAGATGAGTGGCCTCTTTCAAAGCAGGATAAATACTGCATAGGTTGAATTAGAGTTCAGACTCAAGTCTTTACATTAGTTAGGTTTTGTTCCTCCTAATGCATATAAAAAGGCATTAACGGTTTCATCTGCTTGCAATGCAGTCTGCTTTTGAGAAGTTCATTGGTCAGCCTGTTATCAGTGCCGTGTCGAGCCGCACGGTGAGCTATCTCTACATCAATCAGCTTGATAGTTTATCAGACACCTCTATATGCATTTTGTACAACCTCCTACTTATATAATCATCATGACCATCTTGTTATCTGATTGAATTTTACCTCTTAAACCCCGTATTCAATACGGTTGCACTCATTATGAATTGTCTCTCAAAGCTTGTATGCTGAAATGATTTATAATTTTCAGGACACGGGAGTACATGCTCTTGCTAACACATGCCACGTTGATGTTGAGCGGAAAAGCAAGAGAAAACCAGGTGAAGTGGTAAGTTTTTGTAGCATCCAAACTTCTTGTGCTTATTGGTGGCTGTTTCATTTTGTCAGGATCAAGTCTTCCTCCATAATGTGGCTGAAAGAGGTGGAAGTTGTACTTTTCTAAGTCTAAATATCCACTTGCTTTTCTCAAGAATGCTACAAGTCTCATCCCTTGGTCTCCTTGTCACATGCTTTTGAAAAGACACAGGTAACGGTATTATTAGCTGGCTCATCTTCTTTTTAGTACTTAAAGCTCATTGTTCTCATTTGGTAAAATTTGAGGCTTATTGCTACGTGCTCTTGCCCTGCAGATGCCTCCGCATGAACCACGGGTCGTGCAGACGGCTATCAATCACTTCCTTCATGTACAGAATTTTCCTCTCGAAGAACTGTTTGATTCACATATTTTACAGAAAATAGTTCAAGTATTCCTATTTTACGATTCAAAATGTATTGCACTTGTCTGTTCACACTTGCTTTCTCCATACCGTAAAGACCATATATTTATGTCAATATCTTCGATTAGGTGTTTTGTTCAAGTCTCAAGGTTAACTTATCTAGAGATTGCTTGTTTCACAATTGTGACCAGTACGTACGCCAAGGTATGGTGATGTTTTGGCCGCAAGACTTCGCACCTGGTGTTTAAATCTCAATTTGATATTTCTTTAAAATGATGTTTCGCTTTGGTAAAATGCCGGCTGTCCTAATTGTGAACTTGATGTGTAGGCTCAAAAAGATGCTGGTGACATGGCGGTTGTAGGCGTGCAGTGTGTGTCTCCGGATTTCCATGCTCGTTACCGAGCCCAAGAACGCACGTACGTATTGCGTAGGTTCTCTCACTTTGATAGCGCAGTGCCTTGATCTATTGGCGTGATTCTTCTTGGAGGTCATTGGTGGCTACTCTTTGAAGGATAACATTGAAAGAAAACTACAGTCGACGTTGAGTCCTTGGCTTCCATTTGATGATCGTGGGGATTCAATTACTAGGATTTAACTTTAATGGTGGAGTTTCTCTTGCTTTGCTGATCATCTGAAGGGTTTTACTCTTCGAAATTTTACGGACCATTTCAGTCAGGAATTCTCCCTTCCCGTGACAGGGAAGACTTTGAGCTTTGTCTTAGCTTGCTGGAGCAGAAATCTGATACGTACGCTTCTTTCTTTTGTTTTTGTGATTCTTGTGCAGATACCATTACCGTGTCCTAACGGGTAATAGGCAGATGTCAGTTTTTCAGAAGGATCAAGCTTGGCACGTATCGGAGGAGTTGAACCTTACATCCATGATGGTTAGTTATTTCTCCCCATACATTCTTGAAAAGCTTTATTTACGTCGTGTCGTTCCTGCAGTTCAACTCAATTTCTAAATGCTTCCTCTGCCGTGAATATGCGTATGATTGACACGTAGATATGGAGTGTACAATCGAACAATGAAACTGCATAGGGATACCTTCTGTAGGCGGAATTTTTGGATTATAGAGTGATCTTGTCGTGGTATATATCAATATATTCTCGTGAATTTTCTCATAGTGATTGATATTATGTTTTGCTAGGAAGGCTCATTTACTTATATACATATGGTATTTTTAGCCGAGAGAGCAGTCGTGAGCCTTTAATTGTTGAAGAAAAAAAACCCATCTTGGTTCCTTTCTGGATAACGTAGGAAGCTTGCAAGGTGCTGGTTGGACATCACGATTTCAGTTCCTTCAGAGCTACAGGATGCCAGGTGAGCCCTCCTACTCTAACTAATTATTTCATTGCGAAGATGAATAAATGGTCAGTAAAACAGTTGTGATGCAACCTTCTATCAACTGTTCAGTATGTGCTGAAAATGCTATTTTCGTATATTTGATGCCTGCATGCATTGCTGAGCCCGTGATGGTGTCAATCGATTTACGATAACTAGGTCACCAGTCGTAGGCCCCCTTGACTTAGGAATCAGTTTCTTGAAGTAAGGCACCTGCTTCAATTCTTACCTAGGAATGTTACAGATACTGTTTTATCTACTGTTGTGTCACTTTCAATAAGAATCCGGTGAGGGTTTCCGGTTACACGTCGAGTGCAAGCCAGCAATAGTTTCATGACCGATTCTGGCTGTGATTTATATGCACTTTTGTGCATTCATTATTTATTGCTAAAATGATTTTCTTCGATCATGCAGGCAAATTCTCCTATTAGGACACTGGATGAGCTACATGTCTGTGAAATGCCTGCATGGCCATGCTTTCCTTCTCCAGAAGAGAGGCAACAGTCGTCACAGAATGCAGAGACAAAAGATTTAGAGAGCACTACAAGCGAATTGAAGGACCCAATCTTGACATCAAAGCTAGGCACCTCTGAGAAGTTGCGGTGCTTTGTTATCACAGCAAGGGCTAGATCGTTTTTATATCACCAGGTAATAGCTCAATGCACGTGGTTTCTCTCGGTGAAAGCTCACTAGAATTTTTTCTCATTTTCTGGAATTCGTTATAAGATAATTAGCAAGTGGCTCAGCATTTCGAATGGCTCTAACTTCTCTCACAGCATTCTATTTCACAAAATTTTAAGATACCGAAGATGGCAGTTTTTATACTTTCAGTGAGTACTACACTTGTGCTAATTTTCTTCGTTCACATATTGATGATCATCTGTAGGTCCGGCTTATGGTTGGGACGCTGAAAGCTGTTGGATGCGGGGATCTAACAGTGCAGGACGGTAAGAATAAGGACTTCTGACCATTAAATTCTTTCGCAAAGAGAACAAGTGATGATTTTGCACCGGGCAGCTTTGAGTGACGTCATCTCCTTAAATATTTGGGTTTCCGGATGAATCCTTCTAATTTTTCTTTTACAGGGCTAAATGAAAAGGAGCTTAAACTCTTTTCTTGATCATGCCCTTAAGCTTGAGCTGGTAGGTTAACCTTTTAAGAATGATGCGACAGTTGTGGCTGAAAATCTGTCCTTTTGCAGTGCAGCGGATTTTAGATGCTCGGACCATTACACAGGCACCCGCGATGGCACCAGCCTGCGGACTCTACCTTGCAAATGTGAAGTACGATTTCTCTGATGACCATGAACACAGTTTAAATGTTGATGAGGAAAGTGATTAAGGGGCGAGTTGCGGGGAAAGATACAGTTGCCGCGTCGAAATGTGATGCCCAGTAGCAACATAGAGAGGAATGTTCGTTAGTATTCCCGTGTCCGGCGGTCCAACAAAGACACTTCGTATGATTCGGTTGTGGTGCTATCTTTTAGTGCTGAAAACAATGATAGAGGTTCCAAAATTTTGTGAAGGGGTATCCTGTTGGATGAGCTGTGACAAGAGTGAATGGAGTATGTGGGATTCACGGACATCCTGTTAGATAGGCACTTGTTCAGGAACCGTTTATCTTGCGTGAGGCTCGAAGCTGATCAGTGCGATGCTTCATGCTGAATCCAGCACTGTTTATCATAACTATGGTGTTTCTTGCACCTGGTGTCTGCACTACTCACGTCAATGAAGTTAAGGCTGTTTATACTGATGCATGAACCCTGCATTGTTGCGTTAGCTAGTGCAGAGATGCAGCTCTGCCTGTGCACAGATAATTTTTCTTAGGGTGCCATATCAGGATGTGACTAAAAATGTGACCACAGAATATTTAGCCAACATATACAAATGTCTCGATACAAACTCTGAGATTTTGCCCATAACCTGGTCTTTGTTGAAGTCCTCCACAAATGAGAAGTTCTGTTCCTCCAGGCCCAGATTCTGTACCAGTGTTGGAGAATAGAATGAATGGTAGGGTGGGAATTAAGAAGCAACCAGTAGTACTCACTGCAGATTAGAGATCAAGTCTTAAGCTCTGTGCAGATTCTTATGACGCTTGTGAACGCCTCGCTGATGTCCATTGTTGCAATGTAACAAACTTACAGTGGCAAACTTGATCATAACCTTACAACAGCAGCTTGCACCCAACTGAGCCATTCGTCAAGACCTTTCTCCTGCCTCAAGTTCACCTTCCAGAAGCTCTTACTATTTGAGAATCATATTTTAGACGGAAGTGAAAACCAACACATCTTGCATCGTGGGAATGACTATGAAGTGGTTAAGATGTTAAGTAAGAATTCCACGTATGGCAACTGAAGTACTTTCTTGAGAGCACAAATTGGAAGAATATTTTACTTATTTTTGAAATAGTGGTACAATTTGTATTAGATTTTCTCAAAATGAGTTTCAAAAGGTTTGGAGACAACACTATTCATGATTCCTTAGAAATTTATGTTGAGGACAAAAACTACTTTTGAAAGCACTACTTTAGTGAATCAAGAAGATCTTTTACAATTAAAAATCTAAGTAAAACCTTTGTTGATAGGAGGTTGTTTGAGACCAAACAAGTTAATTACAAATTATATTAATTATTAGTAAATATATTTGTATACACGTATACTTATATATATATATATATATATATATATATATCAATGAGAGAAGTATTAAATATTTTTTTAATATATATTTTTTATATTTGAAATGTAATTATATGTCTAAAAATAATCATAGATAGTTATTTGTTTATTTATGATTAAAATATTTGTTGTTTATTTTTTAAGTACATTGATAAATAATCTATTATATTACTGAAACTTTGAATAGTGCAAATATAGAAAATTAACCAATTTGATGTTCTAAATAGTTGCTAATTTTTTGGGGCAATTATAGGTATTATAAAGAAAAATATTTTTTTAATAAGTAAGAAATAATTCCTAATAAGATATTTTTTTATCCATGAAGCCAAAATAAAATAATAAAATATGTTGATTATTTTCTTTGCACAAGGTAAAAAATAAAAAAATAAAAAAATAAAGTATTGATTGTAATGGAGTGTTATTTGTGGAAATTATTAGCTAACAAAGTAAATTCTCAATTGGCATCTACTTGGTTAGCTAATAATTCAAAGAGAAGGTATAATATAAGTAACAAATTTAAACTTCTATTTATAAAAATTAATAAGAAAATAGATACTTGAAGTAGAGTCTTTGGAGGTTGTTACAATAAGTAAAGGCATTGAACAAAATGTAAAGAAAGTTAAAAATAATTAAAGAATAAAATAGATAAATTACAAAAAAAAAAAAAAAAACAAAACAAAAACAAAAACAAACAAACAAACAAACAAATAAACAAAATAAATATCTATAGAAGAATTTAATTTATAATTTTATTTTTGGTTGATAATTTTCTTTTAATATGTAAATATTATATATCTATTCCAAAATCTTTGAAGGAAATAAATTAGTCAAGCTTGAAATAAATCTAACTTCTTATTATTAAAAATATTTATAAATTAATTAAGATTTTAAAGTTGTATTTTATAATTGTATATATATATATATATATATATATATATACATAACATTTTTTTTAATTAAAAAAACATACTTAAAATTATAAAAGTTGCATTCAATGACTAATGCAAAGAAATTACAATGGCATATTCAACCAAAGATATTACTGATGTTACCATAGTTTTTGCTAATATCATCCCAACTTGTTATCCACTCAATATTCTTTCTAAGTTTTTTTAATTCCAATCAAAAATATTTACGAAATTTCTTGTGTATATATATATTGAACCATGATGAAATAGTTTTAGTGAAAATAGCAAAATGAAAATTTTGACTAAAATTTAATTGGATTTTTTATAGGATTATGATGACAACAGTAAAAATTGTGGTGGCATTAATAGTATTTCAAACTAAACATAAACAAATATATAAATAAATTGAAAACTAGGATAAAATTTAAATGCATTAAATTGACACTATTAATATTATGGAATGGATACAATTCAAGTATTACACTAATAAGCTAAACAAGATAAATGGAGTTTAGAGAGGTGTAAAAGATAATGTTGTGTAAAAGTCTTTAAAACATTATGATTGCTGGATGAATTAAATTACATAAATAGTTTTTGAAAAACCTTATTTAATGAAAAGATTGTTTTAAAAAAAAAAAGAAAAAAAAAAAAGAAGAGATAAATCTATCTTCTTCAAGAGAAGCTTATTTATTATTTAAAAATATATGATTTGTTATTGTACATAGTAATGTTCATCTATGCAATCTATAAAACTGAAAAAGTATTTTTTGACAAACGGAAGATTTATGTGTTACAAAGAGACATCATATGAAACCATTTTTTTACTAGCTTTTGACATGTGAGATTTATAGGCAGCGGGCACATCTCCAGTGACCGAAGAAGAAGCATCCTACTCATCTTTGGGTACTATGCACTCTCCTCAGCTGTGGTGATTTCCACACGAATACGGGTTACAAAGTGATTAAATTAAGAATCTCCGACTGAACAGAGGATGTAGATGGGTCAGAGTATTGAAATACACAAAAGCAAGATCGTTTGAGACAATGGAATCTCCAATTTACAAATCCAGGGAGTGACTGAATGATATACTGACACATAAAGTGCATGAAACATTTTGATAACTCATTGAACTTAAATGACGCAAAACAACGTCGGCACAACCTGTGCCATGTAGCCACTCATTTCTGGACCATGATTTGGTCTTCTCGTACCATTATTTCATGGTGCCGCCAAAAATTGTGCGTCAAGTTTCATCGAACATCGGAGATTCTTCGTATCTACCAAACTTCAGTGCTCAGCTGTGTCAAAATCCTCTTTCTGAAAATGGAAACAACTCAACAAGAAGGCAGCACTATCACATGATCTTCGTAGCCAAAGGGCTCCAAAATAGTAGTGACCCACTCTGTGCTGCATACTGGTGACATTATTCGGTGAAGGAAGAGCCCCACGTCATGCCAATTGTTCTGGCATCAAGTTTTGAGGTCAGTCCTCCCAGAATACCACTCATAAGAGCAAACTAGGACTTTCTTAGAGGTATCAGTCATTCACATGAACGCCAACATTTCAATATTTCATCTCTTTTTTCCTGCAAGCAAAGCATTTGAAAATCAGAAGGGTCATAAGTTGACCACGTGTATTTGGAAGTAAACTTGCGTACTCGAATTTTTTATTACTTTGTGAGACATTCACAGGAAGCGCAAGGTATCCCAAAAACCCATTCCCATAGTAGATTAGGTGGTATTCGATGTAAAAACGTGCTCACCTTTCTGAGGGTTAGACTTGGAATGAGACTTCTGAGTTGTACTACTGGATTTTTCTCCGGCTATGTAACCACACGAGCTGAGAAGCGAGCGTGCAGCATTGTTGATATGCTTGAACCTGTCAGGACCCAGCTGAATGCCTCCATACCATCGAGATACAACTACGACCTGGAGCAAACATGTGGTTTTATTACATTAAAGCATTAGAACCAAGACAAGAAATTGCTTTAAAACACGATAGCTTGATGCGGAATTATTCAACATTTCTATACAGCTGCTTGTGGAAGCTCATGTACCACATTGAGCGCATTCACAATCTGAAGCAAATGCAGTAGCCTTCCACCCGCTGCAGTTTCCCCATCATCGTCATTGTCTTGTAATACCTGCAGGGACAGTGTTCACTTTGACTTGATGGCCAGGTAAACAGCTTAACTTGCTGGTCTCTTTTCAAACTCTAACATCAGAGTATCATCAGACTGAAACCGAGACCATTCACTATAAAAAATAAATAAATAAATAAATAAATAAATAAAGAAGAAAAATGTATGAATAGGAAGAGATTGCTAACAGTATTCTTGATCGGCATGGAAATTCTGAAAGCCATAATATTATGCGTTGCTGCAGCAATTTTGCGATTCCTGAGTAAAGCATCCAAAACTGCCTTCACGTCGTCTACACTCTTCGCTGGTGCCAGATGAGCTTGAAAAGTACCTGTTAAAGGAAAAGCGAATTAGGTAGTTGGTCAGAAGACGAAAGCAGCACATATATTCACTACCTGGCACTCTTTGATTCCAATGCTACAGATCAGTTAAAAATGAGAGGATTTTGGAGACACGGTGTTAGAGAATACAAACACTCACACACGCCATTAAAAAGAAAAGCAAAGAAAAGAAAAGGTAAAAAATACATCAAAAATAAAAACAAACAGACAAACAAACAAACAAACAAAAACCTGCCTCTTGAACTCACTTCTTTTTTCGGTGAAAGGTTCTCCATGCACAATGCCAAGGATCGTATCAAGCTCTTCTAATCCTTTTTCATCAAGGATCCTCTCTGAGCTGTGTACTATCTCCTCTGGCCTGCACCCAAACCACTCGAAGATAGAGGATACCTTCAGTCTAATGGAAAAAGTTCTCATAGGCGATGCGTCCGATGCAAGCAACAGTCATATATTTAAGGAGAAACAAGGCGCAACATACATGTCAGAGACCATTGGCGGTGAAACAGAATCGTCCTTTTCTGTAGATTCCACACTGCAGGCATTGTTAGGGATTCGCTCATGACATTGCTACATAACTACATACCTAGGCACCTGAGAAAAGACATGGGTTAAACTTCAAGAATGTATGACTAGCGTGGAATTGCATCTTCGACAAAAGAGTACGCGCACAAAAAAGGATAAAGTATAAATATAAAAACAAATACAAAAATACAGAGACCTGAAACTGGTTCAATTGGAGGAGCGTGCTCCTGTACCCAACTTCTAGCTTCTTCCCACAACCAATCCTGTTCCTGTTTATGGTTTCATTGAGAAGATAAAAATTATTTATCCTCACAAGAGGGTAGGAATAGAATTCATTATAATTACACTATGGACATAAGCATGAATACAAAGCTCCACATAAAAAAGGATACCTTGAGCCATTCCACCCATCTGAAGACAACTACTTCTCCGACAGCTTCCTCGAATAAGCTTGCAAACATTGCTACCACTCGTCGCCGAGAATTCTCAGAAAACCACGAAGCATTTAGCTCTACTACGGGGCACGATTCGGAAGGGTAAGACTCTGGGAAGTGTACCCCTAGTCTCAAAATCAGCTCACCGTTGTTGGCTCCATCAGCTGGACGTACCTGCACCTATATAAAATCCACGAACGCACACTATTCAGACGGATACAGGATTAGTTACAAAACAGTGTAGAAATCAGAGAAATCGAGGAAGGAGGTTGGCACAAAAGATACAGCGAACAGAGACCCTAATCACAGTATTGAGCGCTGCACTGGCGCTATCTCCTCAAACGAATGGTATCAAGCATGAATGCTAATGTTTACCTCACAAAATTGGTTTGTAGAGGAAATCCAGCAATCTTCTTCCCCATATATTGATCTAAGAACCTCCAATTCTTCAGCTTGAGCAATCCTATTCCCTTTGAAAGTAAGCACAAATTAAACGAACCAGAGATTTTGAGATACCAAGATTCTTTTTGTAAACCGCAGAGTTAGACGACTGAATTCATATGTTATTGATTCATAACAGGAGAAATCCAAAGAAAGAAAGGGAAGAAAGAAAGGAAAGAAAGGAAAGAAAGGAAAAGGAGGAGGTGGCAATTCACCTTCGACTTCCATGCTGGAGATTCAAGGCAAGAAGATTGAGCTCAATCACAAAATCTGAATTGATTCAAGACACGCCAAGCCCCACATACCCTTCACCAGCACCTCCTCACGAATCCACTTCAAAAATTGAACCCAGCTTCGAGAAAAAACAAAACTCGTGACTGCCTTTATCCATGGCATTAAAAAAAGTCATACAGAAAAGTAAAGAAAAAGGTCATCAGCAACTACAATGAGCTGATGCTATAAATTTGCTGTTTCCCAAAGATTTATTGAAAATGCACACAAATTTTATGAGGACACTCGAAGAAACCAGGATAGTCAATAGAATGTATAAACCTTCTCAAACACATATGCTCCAATCAATGTCAGTACATGACCTAAAATTTCATGACGTATCCAACAGAGCAATTTGAATGCAACACAATATCAATCAGTTGGTGTCGTTTCAAGTGGGCTCAGACCACGTTATTCTCAGCAGACAATTAAGTGAGTCATCGCAAAGTCGAAGCTTTACATACCTCTCTGCTTGGCAAGCATGGCCATGGCTATAAACCGTAATGACATCCACAGGAAAGAAGTCACCCAAAGTCCGAATTGCTGTGTAGATTGTGATCACCCACGATTTAAGTATACAAGCTCTAATGCAGGGAACTCATCTTTTGGAGGGAAGGATAGAGGGGGAAGAATTGTACCTACTCTAACGGACTGAAGCGGATTTCACCCTACTAGTTGCTGTGTTTGAATCTCAGATCACACAATACGCGGATACATTGGTCATGCATTAATTATTCGTCATTGCCGGCCTGTACATTGCACTCATTTTCACATGCCTTCGATTTCTTCATAAATGAATCGAGCGAATGGTGCACACGAATGTGGGAGTACCGTGAACAGCAGACCCGACTAAAGGAATTGGAACTGAAAAATCATGTCACGCTAGATTACAAAAAACAGAAAAGAAAAACCCCTTGCAGCTGGCTACTAACGCTCATGCATAGATTGCACTAGAATCTGAGAATCCAAGAAAGCAATAACACTCAGCCATGTCGATTCGAAGCTCATCAAGCGGCTGACAGACTGTTAAAAGATTTGGCCAAAACAGCTTCAACTTTTTAAGTTAACGACCGTGAATTGGAACACCTCAGCAACGACACGGAACGAGGTGAAATGCCCATGGTGCGCAACTGATCATCTGTGTGGGTGATCTGCAAGACGGCGCAAAGAGGGCTTCTCACAACAACAACAGGCAAAGAAAGTGAGAGAGATTGAACATGTGAGCAGGTGAGGTGGAACAAGAGCAGAGTGCATACCGTGAAGGATTCCTTCACCGCAATTCCTTAAAGGATCCCTTCGTTCCTGCCAGATGCAACTGCCGCTCAGATTGTACACTCTCTTCGGACAATTCTTCCTCGTCTCCGTTACTTCTTCCTTGCTTCCCATTCTGGAGCTCCACAAGTCTGTGTTTGCAGTGGACCACCTCGATACCCGCTTTATACCCGTTTCTTCTCATTAGGTACCCGTCCACACCCGTTTGATTCCACCCATACCAGGTTAGTGTTTGGTGCCCCCATTGTACCATTTTGGTATAGGGTTTATTGTATGTATATATATATATATATATATATATACATATATATATGTATCTATATGTTAACTTTTGGGGCTTTGCTTTGGGAGTGATATACTAAAGTTGAAAATTGAGATGTCTTGTTTAAAATAAATTCTTCACAAAGTAAGGAGTTATTTTATGTAGTATGAATATAGTTTGCACTAATATTAATATCATAAATATGATAGTCTAAAAGTAAAACAACTTTAAAGAAGAAAGTTAGATAAAGCTAATTTCTTTTAGAAGACTAGATGGCAACCATGTTGACCTTTAAAGAAGGAAGAAAAATAAAAATAATTTTTTTACAATCTAAAATTTTATAAAACAACATTGTAGGTCTTGATATTTTTTATTTTTATTTGATGCAATTACTAAAGACTTAAAATATAATTATCTACATTATTTAAATATGTAGAGGTATATAGAAGTATATAAGATAATTAAGAAGCATCTTTGATGTTTCTTGTAAAAGATATTTATTCTAATATTCTCCCATGACATAATTTTTTTTTCTTTTTTTTTTCTTTTTTTAATTATAGTAAAACATGCTATCTTTTTAAAAAACATTAAAAATATATCGTTAAATAATTATATTAAATTTTATCTTTTACACTAATTTATGATCACATAAAAAATTCATTGATCTTGTTATTTTATATCCATCAGAATACTTTATATCTATATAGAGTAGCAAATAAATAATTCTATATATAAGTATTTTTTTCATTAATTTATTATTAATAAATAAAAATAAATATAAAAATATTTTAAATATAAATTTTTAGATGTTTTCTTCTAGACAATGTTAACTGATTGTACTTATATATATATTCTTAAAAAATCCTAATAACTAAGTTATATAGAAGACATTTAATTATAATATTTTTGAAACAATAACTTTAAAAAAAATCTCCAATACTAGGTTTAGATCATACAAAGTTGTATATTTAATTAATCTTCATAATTCTACTAAGTAAGAACCTTTCTTTTTTCGACCTTTGGATTTTAAAATGCACCAATTTTTTACTTCTAATTAAAAAAAATACTAATATTTATATATATATATATATATTATAATATTTTTTAAAAATATTAAAAATTAAAGTATAAAAATGGATCAAATGAAAAAAAATCAAAAAGTTTAGAAGAAATTAATTTACGTTATATAAAATTTTAATAGAGAACGTGATATTTACACTTATTATTGTCAAGGACATTTTACAAATTGAAGCGCTCATAGTATTACTTAAATGCATCAATTATCTTTATATCTACAGGCAGAGTCTTAGAAGAAGAATAAAAAAATTGAGGTTTGGAGTTGGACAATTATCCATGATGTTTAAAGATGCATTGTCTGTTAATGCTAATATTTCCTTGCCATCTTCACATTAAGTTATTTTAGCCATTATTGGAAAAAAAAACTCCAATCATCCAAATTCTTTATTGGAGTAATAATAAAACCCAAATTACTTGCATATACAATAATTGAAGCAATAAAAATTGTTTGCATAGCTAAATAAATATGACATATATTTGCATTTGAAGTAAATGCAATTGTAATATGTGTTTTTTTTTTTTTTTTTTTTTTTTTTTTGAATAGCTTACAATTTAATATTGAGAAATTATCATATATGGCCCCCTTTTTTTTTTTAAAAAAAAAAAAAAAAAAAAAAAAAAAAAAACTCGTGTTTCACTAATATTTTTTATGTTGGAGATATCATAACTTGCAAGATAGGACATAAAGCAAGCAAAGCAACATCAATTGCATCTTAATTAAGAGAAATTTATTTTTTTATGTATTATAATAATTTTTAATTTAAAAAGAGAAATGAACTTTTTAAATCATTTGTTGAAGAATTAAATGCTATCTTTTGGAATAGCAAGAAGTTTAAGAAAATGTCAACCACGCTCTTTGATGAATTTTGAAGAAAGCAAAAAGTTTCAATTCTAGTGGTACAAGATCCATAAATCAAGACCTTCTTTGGCTTTTAGAAAGCCACTTCTGCAATTGTTTTGCTTAAACCTGGTTAATATCCATTGCTTTGTATTCATTGCATTTCTTAAAATTCTTGTTGATGGTGACTTAAGATAGCCCTTTATCAATGTCAAAGTCAATCTTGGCTTATTTAACAAGGGTTGTCTAAGAATTTGATGTATTTGCATCTTTTTGCTTGCAGATTTACAATTTACATTGCTATACATTGATGAAACAAGGCATTGGTTTGGTATGAGTTTTAAATTTTCAAAGTATGTGTGGAATAAATAAGATTAGAAAATTGATAATATTGGCACTCAGCTAAGTGCTAAACTCTAATAAATTTTAGTCTTAGAATGCAAAACAACTCCATAACTTGATAGAGATAATATTGTAAGAACCTATTATGTTGCATTAGCAATATAGAACTAGGGATAATCTATTCTCAAATTGGATCCTAAATGAGATAATTGGTATAAATTAATATGTATCCAATTGGAAAATTTTGAAATTTTTTTGAAAATTACATATATTTTTACTTAATTTATAAATTAAGATTTATGATAAAAAGTAAAAGTAAAACTGAAAACTCTAAAGATTCAATAATTATATATATATATAAAAAAACAAAAAAAACAAAAACAAAACAAAGAAAGTAAAAGATTTAATGAGTCAAAACAAGGGAATTAAAATTTAATTTTATGCAAGATAATATTTGATGTGCTATTGCTCAAGTTCAATCCATAGACACAGAAATTATGATGGAGAATACGAACTAGTTTTTTTAAAAAAATTTGGAGTTGTCTCAACCTTTTATAATTTAATGTTATTTATTAAAATGAAGGTTTTGTTTATTCCATTGTCCACCCATTATCTTACAACAGCAAGCTAGGCAAAACCAAGTGAAAGTAATAACCAATAGTGTATTATTTATCTATATTCCTAAATTGGGAGTAGTTTTTCTTTGTATTAAAAAAATTATAGTCTTATAAATTGTAGCAACTACCCCCAATTTAGGTATTTTGTAACAACTTTTGTCAACAATCATAATATCATAAACTTATTTATCTTAATAATTTTTATTTATTTTTTAAAATTTACAAAAAATAAATATAAAAAAAAAACTTCAACTATTTTGAAACAAGATTTTTTTTTCTATAATTCAATCAGTATATCTGGATATAGTAATCAAAATTGTTTTCTTCTTATTTATTACATATTTATAACTATTGTAACAATATGCCATTGAATATAAAAACAGTTCCTAGAAACTGAAATTAATATTCCCATTCTGGTAACGTTTCTTGTAATTATTTTACAACCACCAAGAGAGATTGTTTCGGACTCTACTATATCCCTGACCTAAAACCCATCCTCCCTTTCAATACACAATCAAAGACTTGTGGCACGCTCATGCACAAGCAGGAAAAAACTTGATGCAAGCTCAAGGGATTTGTGGGGAAACCAGTCAGCACGCCTCGTGGAATCCGCCCGGGCTCAAAAAAAAACCCTCGAATTGTTTCGAATAGGAGTGCCTCCAACGTACAAAAAGAGAGTAACTAAGAACGCTCGAGCATTCGACAACAGGACATGTAAGAAGATTTACTCTGAATGGGATTGTTGATTGTATTATCGATTGCTATCTAGTATTGTACAGATCTTGGGGGATTGATTGCCCCATATAGACATACATTTTAGCAACACGTCTGCAAAGCAAAGTAGGAGCTTGCAGTGGTTGCTGGTGTCAAGTATTAGTCTACGTGATTGCTAACCAAGATAGAGGGAAGCTAGTTCGAGGCTTCCCATCGGATGGTCTCTAGACCCTCATCACAAAATTGTATAAACCAATTTTGAAGGTTTAATATACACCTACGACAGTGCCGAGAGTTTGCCGAAGAATTTAAAGCTTCTCCCCACATGTTACTGTTGCAAGATTCAAGCCCTGAGGGCTTGTTGAATGCGCTTGCGTTGTCCACTGGAGCTGAAACTCGCTACCGACGGGTACACTCAGTCCTGAGATGGTGGTGGAAGCTGCAGCGGAATCAAAAGATGAGGAAATTGATGATGAAACTTGGACGCTGTTGATGGTGAGAGAAGTTGCAGCACTGTTGGCTCCAAGGATGATGATTGTCTGTACTGTGAGTCCTTTTTGGATGGCGTAGTCTCCGCTCACGACCTTCGACGACAGAACACCTCGCTGCACCGATTGCTGGGCGAAGAATCTCACGAAAGTAGACCTGCCCTTGCGAATCACCATCTCGATGTCGTCACCGTTGTCCAGGAAGAGCTTACCTGTGGCGAAGCCGGAGGACTTCGACGCTGGGAATGCTACCACAAGTGTGAAGGGCGTCGTCATCGCCTCGGCCGATGTTAATGCGCTCTCTTGCATCGGCAATATGGTTCCCTCGTGGACATGAACGTTGATAGAGTCCGAAGGAGCGGCGAGTTCGAAATGCTCCCCCTTGCTTTCCACTTTGGAAGCGTAATCGAAGAGGTTGTACCATGTGCCCATAGGGAAGTAGCCATTCACGGTCGTCGCCTCGGGGAGCACGACTGGGGTTACCAGGACGCCGCTTCCGAGCAGGAACTGGGTGCTGATCTTCAAGGTGTTGATGTCCTCGGGGAAAGCAAAGAACAGAGGCCTGGCGATGGGAGCGCCTTTGTTGTGCGCCTCAAACATAAGGCTGTAGAAGTAGGGGAGGAGGCGATACCGCATGCTAAGTGCTGCCCTGGAGGACGAGGCGACCTGGTCCCAGACGTAGGGTTCTTGTGGAATAGCACCGAAGATGTTATGGTTCCGAGAGAAAGGGTAGAAGGCTCCGAGCTGCATCCATCTGTTGCAAAGCTCCATGTTGGAGTCGCCGGCGAAGCCACAGATGTCTGCCCCTATCATTGGAACCCCTACCATTCCCGAGTTCAAGATGGTAGCGATTGAGTACTCCAGGTCCTTGAACGTCGCAGCGTTGTCGCCGGTCCAGTGAGCGGTCTGTGCTCCAGAACCTACGAAGGTTGACCTGCACATTGCAAAGTACCAATGATTGTAAACTCTTGCACAACACACGCAATAATTCGAGAAAGTAGATGATTGGGAGCAGAAAAAATCGTTTCCAAGCATGAGAACACGGCAGGTCGCGTACCTTGCAAGAATGAAGGGACGCTTCTTGCGAGTGGCCTGGAGTGCCTTGTTGGTAGCAATGGACTCCGACAAGCCATAGAGGTTGTGCGCATTGTACTCCAAGGTGCCGTCAAAGTGCTTCACTCCCATCGCGACAGTCTTGTCACCGATATTCTTGTATGCGGTCGTGATCTTGTAAGGTGGGTTATCCCATTGCGTCGATGACTCCTTGCATTCCAAATAGCACTCATTGAGGTTCGGGTAAACCACGCCGTTGAACTTGCACTGCGTGCCACTGCAGAAATTTGAGACCTCGTTCATGTCGATCCAGAGTCCGTCGAAGGGGATTTTTTTGTGAAACTCGGATATCTCATTAGCCCACCATGCACTTCCCTTGGGATTGAAAAAATCGGGGAAGTACACAGGCCCGGGCCACACTTGGGCGAGGTAGTTCTCGTTCTGCTCATCCTTCAGGAAGATGTCTTCCGCAAGGCCGCGCTTGAGAGTGGTGTAATTCTCATAAGCTATACTAATTCCTGAAATTCAAACGCATGCGCATCAGAATCACAAGAAACAGAACTCGTACAAAACTGGAAGATCAACATAGCTAGGCATGTCACATAAAATACAAACCTAATTTTGGTCAGGGAAATCTACTTACCAGGATCAAGAATCAGAACGTAGTGTTGTCCATTGGCGTGGAGCTCCTCGACAAAATCCTTAAGCTGCTCCTCGGGATAGTTGACAGGATCGGCGGTGAAATCCAAGTAGTTCTGCATGTAATCGATGTCGTTCCAGATTGTGTCCAGGGGGATACTGGCCCTCTTAAAGTTCTCCACCACGTACTTGAGTTCATCCACATTCTTGTATCCCCACCTGCACTGGTGGAAACCTGTAGAATTCAACGCAAAAATCGATCAACAGCGAGTACATTTATCTTTGCAGCTTCACGAAACAATCTATCCAAAAACAAAGAAATGGAGGAGAAAATTTGAAACTAAGACGTGGGCTTACCGAAAGACCAATACGGCATCGGCGCAGGCCGGCCCACGAGCTCCGTGTACTGGTCTACCACGTCGAGCGGGGTGGGTCCTACGAAGAAGTAGAAGTCGAATGTGCCGCCAATCACACGATACGTCAGAAAATTGCCACCGTAGTGAATGTCCATGGCATTGCTATTCAGCAACAGGACGCCGTGTGTCAATCCTCCAGCACGCACGTCAATGTAGTAAGGGTAGGCTCCATACAAGTCCACATTCGCGTTCATGGCGCCGATGTCAGTGGCCCACAGCGAGTACGTTTTGCCCTTCACAAGGGGAAGCCCGTCTGGCCTCGTGCTTTCGCCAAGTCCAAACAGCGTAGCGGAGCTCGGGATGTGGGTGGAAATCTCCAGATACTGATCTTTGAAGACCATGGAATTGAATGAGGGGGACTCCACACCTTCGAGAGACGTCTTGACGCTGGGAGTGGAGTTGAAAAGCACCTCATCATTAGAGATACGCGTGACGGCGAATCCGAACGGCTTGGTGGTGTAGGTAAGCTTGATGAGCTGCTCTTGAGGTAAGGCGAATCGGCTGCCCTTCCTCAGAGAAGGATCGTTGCGTGGGACGAGGGAGAGCGGTACTTCCCAACGCGAGTTGCTCTTGTCCGAGATTTGCACGTGAAGTCGAAACTGGCCCTCTACTCTGCACTCACGAAGATAGGGGATTTTTGCACATTAGTAGAAATTCAAGTGAGGAGTGGGGAGAACAGTGGACTGGTATGTTACTAAGAAGGCACTAATTCCACCGAGACTTCATCGCTGATTCGCAAGAGCAGACTCGAGCTCATGAATTCAACGCCCGTCTTCCAAGTGGAATTTGATACCATTTCGTGAATGAGATTATGGAGTAATGTGAAGAGATTTGGGTGCAGGAGGACTCTTCATAAGGCAACCCAAAAGATAAGTAGAGTGGATTCTTGATCTAAGAGCGAAGATAGACAAAAATGTCAGGAAGTAAAAACGTATAGCTGTCTCCTATTTTCCTACCTCCAAAAGAATTCCCAACTTTTCAATCACGCGATTCAACCTCAAAATATACAACAAAAGATGAATACATGATATGTGTTGCAGCTTCTTAAATTCAACAAATATCCTCAGAACTTCTCAGCAGGAGGCTTTCTTACACATGCCTGTACGTGAAAGGAGCAGAATGGAGCTTATGGAAAACATGTTTTTGCAAACAACCAAATCAAGAGCACTTGTCACAAGAGATTTATGAGAAGTCTAGTTTCGCAAAAGTATTCGTTCAGCGACGGAGCCCTAGAACGGGCTCACAAGCAATGACAAACAACTCTCATGCAACACGCACCTGACACTCATGCGGAGCTCGCTGATGTCGGGTCCGTAAAGTTGTGTCTGTTCAATTACCTCCAGATCGGCTACAAATCCCCGTCCATCGGGGTAGTCGTAGATGTCTATCACACGTTGGCCTTCGCCCAACGATTGCTCAAATTTGCTCTCACGGGACACACTTCTGACGCTCTCCAAGCGCTGGGCTTTGCCGGCGTGAACCTCGACACCCATGAAGCGTGTCAACACCAACATGAAAGCCACGGCCCAGACTGCAACCTTGGAAAACTTCATGGCGAATCTCTCCCTTCACCACCACTACCAGACCAAAAACGATCTCCAGAGAAAAGAGGGCAGGTTGCGCTGGAGATTATTCAACACAACTACCACTCGCTGACATAATCAGACAATCAATCTCGGCACATACACTAGATCAGAAAAAAAATTACAAAAAAAAATCTTCAGACACAAATCTAACGATCAAGAGCTTGACTAAGCACGCTACTCATATTAGCCTGAAACACAGACTTAAACATGCCTGCACTCCTCAAAAGCTCACTCCACCTACAGAGGAATTCAGGCATCACAACTAGATTACAGTCACAGACTCAAAGCTTTCCGAGCGCTAGTGAATATATATACCCTTCACAACTGCACCTAATTTCATACAAATCCAGAACCTCGTTGGCGGAAGCTAGCAGAGCGGACTGAAGACGGATCGAATTTTGTCACTTACGACACTCCACAGTGAACTCGATGTCGTCGGAAACGCCAGGTGAAAGAGGGGAAAAAGATTCGCGTCTGGATAGTGAATATAATTACTACCTGTGATGTCGCGAGGATGATGAATGCAAAAAATGTGGAGGTTGTGTCAAAAAGTAGGTCCAGTGGTCCGAGAACTAGAATCCAGCGGAATTGACTTCGGTGCGGCGAGTGGGAAGCTACGTGTCGTCTCTAAGACATCACCGCATCATCGACCTCCTTCCCGCTGCGGAAACTGGATGAGGACCCGGCTTGCCCCAATGGTTCAGATCGAGGCAAAGTTTGCACAATCTCGCTTAACTGTTCGTAATTTCTCCGCTAGTTTCGATCGTATGGTCGGCCGAGCAGCGTCAGTTGTGACGCGCGATGCGGAGAACGGGAGTTGACATCGATCATGCCCTACGCAAGCCTGATCACGATGAGCGACAGTAGCTCATTATTCATTTGTTCGACAGGTGGATTGTGTTGTGGACCCCATCGCAAATTTGTTTGGATAATGCCCTGCAGATCGTTCCGGCCTGCTCACCGTACCAACTGAGAAACAGACTGAATCGTGGCTTCAGGCTGGGTGCCATCATTCGGAGCCTGCTTGGCACAGACCCTGCTCGTCTCCGAACCTCGCAGTCCAGGTCGCAATGTGCCCAGCGAGCTCGCGTCGTGGATGCGATGTGCAGATTAAACTCGGCCTCCCAAGCGTAGAATCCCTCTCTTCCATCGCATCATATTTCCCCGTGCAATCAACACAGTTATGTCAATAGAGTTTAGGGTTTCTGTAGAGAAGCGTAATTGAGACTTTATTCAAGTATTTTATAAAATTCTCCCAATGTTCATAGATGTGTTTTATTTTTAATTTCATAAATCTATCATTTAAGATTGATTGATTGCAAATTCTGGGAGTTATCACTATTCACACTATGTAGAAAGAATGTATATTCGATTTCTTCTTCCTCTTCTTCTTCTTTTAATTTTTTGTTTTATTTTATTACATTTGAATTAATATTCTTAGGTATAAAGCCAACTAAGTAAAGCTTCTCAATTTCAAGCAATCACAAGCTTTGAAAATTGTGGCCTTCTGCTTTGAGTTTTAAGCGAAATTTTGTTTTAAATGTTAAATTTTTTCTTATTTCTTTTTTTGTTTTGTTTATGAATAATTTAAGTTGGTGAAAAATGATGGTATAAAGTAGACAATGTACATATTTTTCTTTAAAATTTATAAAGTTGTCGAATAATGTATTGACAAATTTTAATATTTTTTAATATTCTTAAACAAATTTTCTGAGAAGAAGTTTTTTTGTTGAAGAAATTTTATTGTGAAAAATGAAACTAGAAGTTTTACATTATTATTGCATGCCATAAATTTGAAATGATTAGATTTGAATTAACAATAAGAAAAACAATTTAAAATTTTATTCAAAAAAATAAATCAAAAAAGAATAGTAAAGCCATCTAATTTTAAAGTCATATTTTGTAACAAATATTAAAATTTTACATAACAAAATCAAAACTTTAACATGCAATAATAAGAACCACGATAAAAAATAAAAATAAATCATAATTATTTTATCAAAGATAAAATTTTCAAATAAATACTAAATCATTATATGTGTTTTTAACTAAATTTATTTAATAAATTTGAGAAATAATTTTTGTACATATTTAATTAACTTAATTTGTAAATGACATAATTCTTTAGGAATGCACATAAAATTTAATTGACTCAAGGTTTATTTAAAATAAGGATGTAAATTTCATATTCTTACCAACTAATTAATTTTTATTTAATTAGATTAACCATGCATCTGAATAGATAATATAATTACTATCAATTTGAACTAATCCATGGTTAGTTTGTAATACTTGTATTTAGAGTTTCAAAACCATTAAAAGATTAAAGTATAAATGGCAATGTTGTAATATAAAAAATAGAAGAAGCTTAACATTTCTCTTGATTAATTATTAATGTATGAAATTTTATAATATTTTTTTAAATACTAATTATTTTAGTATAGAAATTTCTTAATAATAATAAATACAATAATAATTTAAAAACTATATTAATATAATTAATTAAAACTAATAGAATTTATTTAATAAAATATAACTTTAAAATTAATTTAGAATAAAAATAAAAATAGAATTGGAAAATAAACAAACAAACAATAATAATAATAATAATAATAATAATAAGTAAATATATAAAAAAAATATAAGAAATTTATATACACAATAATGCATTAAATGCATTATTTTGTACTTTTACGTGATTTTGATAATTAGATCAAACAAAAATAAATCTATAAAAGAAATAATAAAAGACTTAAGCTACAAGCACACTTCAAGTTGTTCCATGCACATCCAAGAACATATAGGCCTTTGATTGGTTAGTTTGCTCAATCGACCAACAATTGCAAGGGGTCAAGAAGCAAGTTTAGAACTTTCACAAAGACTAGAAATGAGAGCTAGGAATGAAGAGGGGTACATCGATTGAAAAGAGCACCAGGATTAGGACTTGTATTAAGACAAGAAAGAGGGGAAGGAAGTTAGGAACTTGCACCAAGATTAAAAAGAAGAGGTCTCAAAGCTACCAATTAGAGGCCTTGGGTGTGCATATAGTAATTTGGAGTTTGCATATAGTCATTTAGGATATGCATGTAGCCTAAGCCATAATAAAAATTTATATCAATGTTATGCAAAATCAAATAAAAAGATAGATAATATTATACTCTGAGCACATAAGGATAAAATACCACCTAAATATTATACACATATACAATTTTTATTCATTTATACATATGTATACATATTACTATATATACATATATAAATGAAAGAAGTGGTGGTCTAAGCAATATATGTGAAGCACTATTAGATAACAAGCAAGTTTTTGTAATTATATTTTATGTCTAGTTGTGTTTGCAATATTGTTAATTTTGTCTTAAATTTTTTGCCTTATTTTTAAGTTGTTTGTTTATTTTCACATTAATACAAATCATATACGCTTGTAACATTTTTCCAATACTTATTGATAATCAAAGTATAGATTTTTATTGTAACTAATATTGAAATTTGAACTTGTTTAAAAATAATACCAAAATAATAACAAATATGAATACTAATATCAATAGTAAAGAATTAAATATTATTTAAAGTTAAGAATAGTCTTTAAATATTGAGATTTCTTTTTTCTTATCCAAAAATAAGCTAATAAATTAAATTTTACAAAAAAAATTGAAAATAAATTTAAAATCTAAAATCTATAAATTTTGTATATATATATATATATATATATATATATATATATTTACACACATACATACATTCATACATACATACACATGCATGCATTGGTTGTGAAGGCTTTAAAGTAATGCAAAGTTTATCTTGTTTAGTTAGTTTAGTTTATTTGTTTCGTTAAACAATTTGTTCTTAAAACATATCTGTGAAAATAAAAAACTAAAATAAAAAATTAAATTATCAAAACAGGAATTGTTTAATTTAGTTGAAAAGCCCATAATGATCCATTGAATCTATACAATGTGTTCATGATAATTATTAATCAATAACTGAACAAATAAAACTAGCACTGAATATGTGTTCATCACTATTATTCGTCTATTTTCATGCTTAAATTATCCAATAATTTTAAGTTTATCACCTAAAAATGTTTTATTCTTAAATACCTCATTTAAATAATATACTGCTTGCATTAACAATATCGCCCCCATTTAGCATACTAAAAAAGCATGTATATATAGATATAAAGTAATGAAAATGTATGTATTTTTTTTTATCGGAAATGTAATTTTTTTATAAATTAAACATATTTTCACCTTTCTAATGAAAAAAATTAAATAAAAAAATGATTATAATAATTGTGATAGATGTAACAGATATTGATATGTAACAGATATCAAGTAATTTGGAACCAGGCTTGCTATTATTCCAAATCTGCTTTCACTTGGGATTTAATAATGCTTTATTAAACCACCTTTTTTTTCATTGCTTCAACTCGATTTTCTCTAGAAATCCTGTTCGTATATTTCTTCTCAACTAATGTCCCCTATTTAGACAAATTGAAAAACGGTTCGATATCTCCGTTGTGCTTGTGAACCTGAGGATGTCATTCATCCTTCACGACCACATTCATCGATGACCAGGTCGGACGAAAAGAGATGAGTGTTTTCCGTTTTCCTCTCATCCTTGACAGTGAAAGGAAAAGGATGAAAACGGGTCCTAATTCCACTGCTAATGAGCTTAGCAGAAGTAGTAATTCTGCAGATGAAGTAAAAGGTAGCATCCGCACACGCTGTCCATGTAGAAACGAACGTGAAAAATCAGAAATAAAACTCATGACTTGGAAGAGGGTGATTGGGTCGGTGAGAGATAAGAAACAGTTGTTGGAAAAGATACCCGATAAATGTGGTGAAACATTATTAAATGTGCCACATCAGCAAGGTCATTCCACCAATCGCCACCACATTTGTCCACATGGCAGCTCATTTACTGTAGCGACCAATGGATACCCAACAGATAAGAATTGGGTCTCATAGGGACACTGGACTCGTTCATTGCCTCGTCCCTCATTCGTCCCCCCCTCAGCCTCTCCCAACACACACCCATTCTCCGAAATGAGCACTCTATAAATATCATTATGTCTGTGCTTATGTTGTATGGTTCGTCGAAACGAAGAAGGACTAAGCAGCTGACAGATTCAGCAGACTGTGTACACTTGTCATTTTCATGCATGGTAGTGTTTCATTATTATTGACCGAACCAATGCTGGGCTTCCATGTAAAGAAAGTCACAGTCATTTCCTGTGTATACATTTCCTTTCTATCCATTCATTCAAAAAGCTGTATTGTTTGTATGTAGGGGCATCGCTTTGGAATACTCAGCATCTAATGTTTACAGGATATAGTGTAGCTTTGTCCCTCTTCACGTAAGGGGTTCCAGTCCAGGGGCCAGGCCGGGTCGGGCTGGGTTGGGCCGGGTCGAGCTGGGCTCCTCACAGGGGCCCGTTCACAATACCGATGGGGATGGATTATTTCTGCGTTCCCACTTGTAGCGATATGGACAATTTTAATTAGGGTTGTTGGTTTCCTGGCTCTCCATGCACTTTTGCTGCGTTGGAAACCCCAAGCAAGGTCGCTGCGATCCGAGCTAGTTAGCTCACTTTTGGAAGGCACGCGAGGTCTATTTCACGAGGCGAAACCAGGATTAACGTGTCGCTGTGATCTGATTCGAAGGGTTTGGACCACCAGTGTGGCAGCGTGAAGAGGTGAAAAACGCCAGCGTGGTGGAAAGCCAGATCCCAGATGCTTATCCACACGGCCAATACAGTTGGAAGCCCGGTGCCGGAGGGTATGTTGCACCGGCCTCGGTTCCAAAATTGAAGGGGCTGCCAACTGATCCGATTAAGTTCCACTTTTGTCTGGTCACGCATCTCCCGCGGCGTCCACTCACGGACCTCCGAGTGCGCCTTGGTTGCATCATCCCTGCGGCGCGAAGATCCACCTTCGGTCGTAACTTGTTTTTTCCCTTGGTTTCTTACTACATTACAGTGGATTTGTCTCTGGTAAGTTCTGGAACCTATTCCGTGATGACAAACCTATTCAAGAAAAAAATCTATTACTTAGAGCCGGGTCAAATATAATCTCGACGAGTCGCAAGTGCTGGGCTCCGTCCTACACTAGCGCCACATTTGTTTATGTGATTGAAAAGTGCGGCACAGATTTCTTTTCGAAATCTCCTGAATTTATCCTCAAGGTGAATGTGGTTTGCATGACTTGGCCACGACCTTGTCCTGGCCCACGGAATCCTACTGCTTCTCTGGATGAGCACAAAGTTTCGGGATCCCACCTTTACCCTCATCTGTTCAGAGGAAACAACTGCACATGTAGGTGAAAATGCAACCTCCAGCAGGGGAGAGTAACTGATTTCAGCTGAATCAAGTAAATTTTGTCCTTTAATTTTAAATAGGAAATTTTGTTCGACGCGTGCCGTATCATAAGTGGTGGCTCTGAGTTTATGTAAACTGTATGTGACTTCCTATTAACCGTCTGCTTCAGCTGCAGTCACATCTTGTTGCAGATTCAAGCGACCTTACCAAACAGTTGCTACTCTAATCCAGCTGATGGACGAGAGCGTATCTGCACAATAGTATTAAGAAACATAACGGAATGTGATGTGAGGGATCGATTAATGAAAACAAACCACACAGTGGATTGAATTTTGTCTCAAGTCACTGTATATGTCCTTTTGATAAAGCTGCTGTGTATTTAAACAAGAGCCAGGGGCATCGTTGTCAGTCCAACAGGACGGCCCTTGGACAGCATTTAGCCAGAGAGAAGTGTGGAACATCAACTGCTTTTTGTTTCCTTCTTATCTGCAGAGCTCCCTGGACTCAGAATTGAGCTGTTTTTTAGGCACGCTAAATCTCATAGAAACTTTGTTGAACGAGCTTTGTGCTGAAGGTGCTCCTTCTACTGCGCGGGGCCAGTCAAAACAGCTCTGCTGCTGTTCTGTGTGAATTGGCTTTCTAACATTGGCTTTCAGGTATTTCATTTGGTTGTCACTTAGCCTCACACCTGGTTCATTTTGACAGATCCTTGCGGTGTGGTTGGGCATGTGATGAAGATGATGGTCGCAGGAAGGAATACGACAGCGTGTTGAAGGAACTCAGGGACGGCGTCTTCGATTTTCGAGAGCAAAGTCGAACTGAAGCTTTCATTTGTCAAACTCTAGATTGGATGCGGAAAACAGTTTATTGGAAGGGTGCTGGAAGATTGCATGCGTTTCAAAATCACATAGAGGATGTTGGAAATTGGACAGTTATTCACCAGGATTGCCCTTTACGAGAGGATTGCTTGATATTGTCACTCCGCTACGGATCATTGCAGAAAAATATTACAAATGGATAGGCTGGTATTCTAGCAAATCATATGAGAAATTCGAGTCCGTTCCTTTGCTCAGCCGTTCGCATAGCTTGTGAGGTTCAGATTTGTCGGAAGGACAACTCTGACGTGACATTGAATGATCTTGTTCCGCTTAGCCTTGGGGTGCACTGCTCCAATATCGCTCTCTTCTACCATACTTTGTAGAGCCCTTTCCAACTGCAAAGCTGATACTTCGGTGTCCCCTTAACCCCCATTCAAGTCGAGGATATTCTGGCTACTAAGTAGAGGTTTGAAAACCATCAATGTTTGGTGAGTGACGATGAGTATGGTGGACTTGCAAACCAGGGCAGAAGGTCTGATCTCCTGTATAGCACCCTTTGGACTTCAGTAACCTTTGTGTATCATTCAGTATTGGGAGAAATATTCAGTATAGTATACTAGTTTCCAGTATAGAATACTATCTATTTAATTGTTACCTTACACCAAGAGTTGTGACTCTTGGTGTCACACTTGTACACATAATATATTGTGTGAGAATTGATTATATTAGTATATAAGATGTTTCCAACATGGTATCAGAGCAATAGAAATTTTTTATCCGTAGAAAGCTTTAAAAAATGCTTTACTTAGAAAAGAATTGCTGAAAATACAAACTAGATTGTAATGACAATAATAATACAATCTATTGTAACATGAAAGAGTAATAAAGAACCTAAAGTTCTTCAAACCATGAGAAGCAATTCTAAACCTAAAAATAGAAATATACAAACAATAAGTAAAGATAAAATTGAATTAATTAAGAATGAATTAATAAGTAATTTTAATTTAAATTCAAATTAAGAATATTGAAGATGACATAGAAAGTGGACATCAATCATGTTCTAAAATTTAATGACTCATATTTTAATATATGAAAACATAGATTAAAACTAGTTTTCAAGGTTGAAAAGTTATGGTCCATAGTAAGTGTTGAAAAATGCTTAGTAGTCAAATCAACAGTAGCTGAAGTTGTAGTTGGAATCCTAGCTTTATCTATCATAGGAGTAGAGAGTATAAGCACATGGATAGATAAGGATACCTTGTCTTTAACCATAATCAACAATTGCCTAAAAAACAACATTGTTTCACATATATAATGTTGCACATCAACAAATTCAGCATAACAAGAATTAGTAAAAATATTTGAATCACATGATGCAGTAACTATGATGTATTTAAAAGAAAAATTATATACCTTAAAAATGAGAGAAGATAATAGTGTTATTAAATACATGCATATCTTTAGAACACATATGAAACAATTGTTGGCACTAAGATCAACAATTCTAGATAATGAATCAATTCTTACCTTAATGAAAAGTTTGTCTTTAAATTATAGTTCTTTTATTAGCTCCTTGAGAAAGCAACTTGGGATCATATTAGCATCTTTGATAATAAATTTGATCTAGAAAGATACACTCATGAAAAACACAAGTTTAAGATCTGATAATAATTCATCCTTACATGTAGGTAAGAAATTTTAGAATAACAATAAGAAAATTTATTTTAATAAGAATTTCAGAAAGAGTCCATAAAGAGAGAGTAGTACCTCCAAACCATATGAAAAGAGTAATTTTACTATTGACAAGAAGTGATTTTTTTGCAAGAAACTTGATCACTTGATCAAAGATTACAGAACAAGAATAGCAACTAAAAATTAGAATAATAATAAAAAATATTATTAAAAAATCAAATAAACTATATATGGTAATACTTATAGTTAAAAAAGAAAAATCAAATTCAATATGGTATGTGGATTCACAAACAACTCAACATATGTGTCATAAATTAATAAGATTTGTTAAATACATCAAAAATGAAGACAAATAAGTTGTCTACTTAGGAGACAATACTACAACATACATTATAGAAGGACATGGTGATATAAATACCAAACTTATAAATGGTGATGAAAAGATCATACGTGATGTATTACATATATTAGGACTTGCCAAGAATTTATTCTTTGCCAAACAATTAGATAAGGCAGGAGGAGAAATTTGCATAAGAGTTGGAACAACTACACTTATCAATAAATTTGGTAACATTATTGTAATTTTCAAATTGAATCTTGATTTATATAAATTAGGTATAACAATACTTTTAAACAAGCCTCAAATTATAATTCCAGCAACAATGTAATTCAATAAAGCTAATTTGTGGGACCTAAGACTAGGACATGTAAATCAATAAAGATTCAAATAAATACAAATAATGGCAAAAGGGATTGACTTCTTTGATGAAAAGAAAATTATCACATGTCAATATTGTATAGAAGATAAACAACATAAAGAAAATTTTCCTACATAAGGTACTTAAAGAGCTATCCAATTGTTAGAACTTGTATATTTTGACATTTGTGGTCCTATGCAAGTAAGAACATATTCAGGATGTACTTACTTCATCACATTTATTGATGATCTAATAAGATATTGCCAGTGTATTTGATGAATTATAAATCTGAAGCATTTGAATAATTCATCTTATATAAAATTTTTATAACAAAAACAAACAAGTTTTAAAATCAAACCTTAAGATCTGATTGTAGGTATGAATATAAATCAAATTAATTTAAAGATTTATATAACAAAAAAATAATCAAACAAGAATATATTATAGCTTATATACCATAATAAAATAGTATTTTTTTTTTAAAAATAGAATATTAATAGGAGCAGTTCTTGCAATGCTATCTTATTCAAACTTACATAATTTTTTTTGAGGTAAAGCACTCCAAACCACCAATTACCTCCAAAATAGGAGTCCTACTAAATTTGTACAAGGTACCAAAATACCATTTGAATTATGGTACAAATGCCAATCAAATTTATCTTACTTTAGAATATTTGATTGCAAAGCTCATGTATTCATTTCTAAAGAAATAAGAAAGAAGTTAGACTCTTATTCATAAGAAGCTCTCTTTTTAGGCTATAGTGAAGAATCTAAAGCCTATAGACTTATGAATATATAAAATTAGAAAATTTTGATTTTAAGAGATGTTCTTTGTGAGCCCCACCAATACATTTTAATTAGTGGATTAGTTAAAAATATAGTTTTGAATTATTTAATTATATAAATATTAAATTTAGAGAGTCTATTTGAATATTTAATTAATTATTAGAATTTAGAAGTATTTATAAATTATGAAAGCCTTATTAGAAGAAAAATTATAAAAATGGAGTCTTAATAAGTCTCGGAGGTAACTATTTTAGTTAATTTAGTATTTTTACTTATTGTTAAGTATTAAAAATTAGTTATTGAGACCAATTTCTTCATTGGCCCCTTATCTATATTTGTTACTTATAAAAATCCTATCAATGATTAGTTAGTAGTTAAAAGAAGCATGAAGAGAACTTCATGTCTTTTTAATAATTTTTTAGAAAATAGGATTTTTAGTAGATGTAAATTGATTTTATTACTATAAAAAATCATCAAGGTAAATAAATATAGTTTTAAATAGATATTGTTATTGTATAAATATTATATGATTTTTTAGAATTTATTTAGAATCTTTTAGGAATTTTTATAGAAGATTTTAAGACCTTAGTAAAATTAAGTTTTACCATCTTGGGAGCCATTATGAAGAATTGAAGCAAGATTCAAAGGCCATACAAGATTCTTGGGCTAATAGAGTGTTTTTAAATACCATGATGAAGTCAAAAATATAAAAAAATGAATTTTATTAGTAGAAAATAGGAAGACCAGCAACTAGTCTAGTCCTTGTAAGAATGGAGGTATACAAGTTGCATATGGGTTGTAGCACCTTGGGTATAGATAGGAAGATAAGACTAAGGGCTCATGGCCTCTTTAAGCACTCCATATATATTACTTATGAGCATTGGTGAAGCTCGAACTCTTGATCTCTTAAGCAAGTTATCCTTGAGGTAAAAATTATTCACTTAACATGTCTATTATTTACATTTTATCTTAAATCTTTCATAACATACTGATAGTAACTTGGATTTATATATTTTTTACGTCATTGAAAAGATAAAAAAAATTACCTATCATTTTTTTTTTTTTTTTTTTTTTTTTTTTTTACTTTTATATTTTATTAAGTAAAAATCTAATAAACAAATTGTAACTAGTTTATAGTGTACAATTGTTTGATTGCACTTATTCACTTTTTTTGTATTGTTCTTCTTTTATACTTTATTCTTGTTACTTTCACTTCACACCACCAATTATAAGTAATTCTTAATTGAGGCCATCTTATAATTTGGATTGAAAGGTGAATATTATCCTTATATTCTCTTAAATAAAAATTTACATGATTCAAAAGTGATACATTTGTAAAAAGACAATGAAGAGCTCTTAATAGACTTAGAATTATTTAAGCATTCTACAACAACTATAAGAACCAATGAATGAAATATTCTTCTTGTTCAAGGAATGTCATCACTACCAACCCCACACATTAAGATACCTATATATTTGATCAACATCCACTACATAGTACTTCTCAAAATATGGAAGAACAACCTCCTTCTTACATTGATGTCATTGACGACTTCTCTCAACTATCATTATCCAATGATAACAAGATATTACTTATTGAACATCATTTAGTCCATTCTACATTATAAGATCCAAATCTTCCTTCTAGTTTTTGACCAACAAGAATTATTAAACCAACTATATAGTTGTTAGAATATGTACAAGGAAGAAAAGAGTACAAATGCCATTATCATAGAGATTACCAAGCTTACTTTGTTTCTACGATTATAGAAGCTCCAAACTCCATTCAAGAAGCAATGGAAAGAGATGATGCTCAATAATGGCAAAAAACAATCAATGCCAAAATTACATCTTCAAACAAGAACAATTAATGGCAAATAAAAAATTTACAATCTAATAAAAAATCAATCAGTTTAAAATGGATTTTTAAAATAAAAATTAAAGGTAATGAAAGTATTGACAAGTATAAAGTAAGATTAATTACAAGAGATTTTCCTCCAACTTCAAGGCATTCATTATACAAAAAAATTCTCTTCCATAGTCAAATTTAATTCCATTAAAGTTCCTCTTGCCTTGGCTGCTCAACATAATTTGGATATACATCAATTAGATGTTAAAATAGTACTTTTAAATGGTTTTATAGAAAAAATATCTATATGACTATTTCAAAAAGATTACCTTCTATATATATTAATAAGGTATATAAATTAAATAAATCCCTATATGATCTTAAATAATCTTCTAGAATATGGTATCAAAGATTAGATCAATACTTCTTCATAAATATAAACGTCTAAAATTAGATGCAAAAATTTATATAAAAAAATAATGAAAAGGATTTTATCATAATTATAGTCTATATTGATGACTGTATCATTATTATCAAAAAGATTTTTTTAAATCAAAAAATAAAAGATATTTTATAATAAAAATTTGATATGTCAGATGAAAAAAAACTCCATTACACTTTAGGTAATGCCATTCTAAGAAACTAAAAAGAAGGATGGATAGTCTTTCATTAAGCAAAGTATTTAACAAATAAACTTGATGAATTTAATACATTGAATTTCA